TACAATAAAGGGCATAAATCTTAGATGTAAAGCTTAAGGAATTTTTACATTTGAATATATCCATAAAACTCCCATCCAGATCAAGATATAGAACATTTCCAGTATCCAGCAGTGCTCTTTGTGCCCTTCAACCTAGCAAGAGGTAACCACTATTCTGACTTCTAGCACTATACATTCATTTTGCCTATTCTTGTACTTCATACGTATGAAGTCATACAGAACACACTGATTTTTTTACTCAATACCATATCAGGGACATCTTTCCATGTCCATACACGTTCATCAATCTAAACCTGTATATGCATCTACTAAAGACTTTCTGATTGGGCTGGGTGAGGTGGCTCATGCCTGTATTACTAGCACTTTGGGAGGCCGAAGCAGGAAGATTGCTTGAGGCCAGAAGTTGGAGACCAGCCTGAGCAAGATCAAGATGCTGTCTCTACAAAAAAATAGAAAAATTAGCCGGGTTTGGTGGAATGCACCTGTAGTCCCAGCTACTCAGGGAGCTGAGGCAGGAGGATTGCTTGAGCCCAGGAGTTTGAGGTTGCTGTGAGCTATGATGACACCTCTGCACTCTAGCCTGGGCGACAGAGAAAGACCCTGTCTCAAAAAGAAAAAAAAAAAGACCTTCTGATCTCTCTGACCTATTCCATGTGCCTCAGTAATTTGGATTAATCCAAATCTAAATTCATTATGCATTATATCTTTTCTTAGCTTCCTCTTACACATTCGCAATTACACATTTATAGGTTTGTATTTATACATTTATAGGTTATTACAAATTCACAATTACACGTTTAGAGGCTGTTATTTCTTTAATGACTGTCCACCCTATCAGACCACAAGCTCCACATGTGCAGGGCCTGTGTCTGTTTTATCTCTGTTGTTCCTAGCACCTAACACACTGATTCCCTTTAGTAGTCATCCAATAAATATTTCTTGAATGCATGCATGCATGAACAAATACATGAACATTTGAATAAACTGTACAATTTACTGAGATAGAAAACATCAGGAAAAGGGCAGCTTCAGGAGGGAAGATCTTCAGTTTAATTTGGACGTGCTCAGTTTAGGAAGACCATGAGATTTCCTAATGAGGTCTTAGCATTCTACAGCCTTCTAGAATGGATCAAATCCTCTCTTCTGGTTTCTTTGTCATAATTTCTCATTTATGAGTGTGTTTCTTCTTCACAGGCTGCCAGCTCTGTGAAAGTAAGGACAATGACTCATTATTTTATCCCCAGTAGCCAGCTTGGCGCATGGATGGGCACAAGGGATGAATGACCATGGGGAGTAAGTGTCCCAGTTTGCAAATTCCCAGAGAGGGTCAGAGAAGCAGATAATGCTTCCTGCTTGCTTATGTCTTCCTCTAGCTATGTCCCCAGAGCTCAGTGTCTAAGGCCTGGCACAAAGTAAATACTCAATAAATGTTTGCAGAATTGAATTGACCTTCCTTTAACTGTAGTCTAAGTCTAAACTTTGCTGTTCAGGCTATAGAATGACCTTCCTTAGGAGGGTCACTCAGACAGTGAGATTATCTACTTTGAAGGAAGCTGAAGTAAATGTCATTTTTGGTAGTGGTAGAATAAAAATATTTTACAAAACAAAGATTTATGGTAGCAGTGCCACTTTTTGTACTTATAGCTGATCTACTTATAAGGTAAAGAATGAAAATAACTCCAACGTTGGTTTCTATGAGAGAATTTGAATGTTTAAGGAATAGCAAATACTGAATGCAGAGAGTTAAAGTAGCCTAGACTTTAGGGGACTTGTCGTTACTTATGAATGGTGAAGGCCATCCGATGGAAAAGAGACGCAGAAAATATCGTAGGGCAAATGATGTGTTTGGAAAATATACCTTGTAAGAGGTTATTTGTGTATAGAGGTATGATTATATTATTGTATATGTTTGGAGTGTTTTGAATGCTATGTTTAAAACAAAATAGAATACTGTAAAGGAGTAGAATCAGGTGGCCATAACTTGGTCAGCAAGAATACTCTTACACATACATGACAAAGAGGCAGCAGCTGCAGTTTTGCAAAGCATGTTATCAAACAGTTTGTAATTTTCTGCCCACGTATCTGTTACTCCCATTACTCTGCTAGGACAGAAGGGAATAACTTGTTCATGCTCTATCCTTAGCACCTGCAAATAGTAAGTGCTGAAAAGTGATTGTAGAATGAATAAATGAATGTGTGCATATGTATTTTTGTAATTGCAATGGAAAAGGCTTAAGGACTTCTATCAAACTCTTCTTAGATTTTTCTAGAGATTTCACTCCCATGTAGTTTGAATTATATACACACATTACAATATATGCACCCATTCGCACATACACACACATACACATATACATTTATATATAAAACATATATAATTTTTAAAAAATCAGCAAATATTAAACAAATGACTCCGGGTTCTGCCATAGTCTCTAGGTGGTCCCCAGAGACCTTGGCGGCTGACCAGAATCTTACCTTGAGGAAAGTTAGGCAATCGTGGTTTTCACTCTTGCCCTTGTCTCGTAGGTCGAAGTTGTAGAGGGCCCTGCAGAGTGGGGGTGGCGGGGGCAGCTGCTTGATGACTTCCACGGAGCTGGCTGGAAAGGTCCCACTGACGCCATTGATCTCCCCCTGGTACCAATTCTCATCAATCTGTCTCCTGAGGAGGATCACATCTCCCTTATTAAACCTCAGGTCACCAGGATTCTGCCCTCTGTAGTTGCATAAGGCCTTGGCTCGAGGCACCTGTGGCAACACAGAACAATAAAGTATGTATTTAGCTTAGAGGCTGGAGGGGCAGAAGGTATAATATTAATAACTAATTACGGAGCACTTCCCATGTGCTAAGTGTGTGTGTGCGTCATCTCATTTAATCTAAGTAGCCCTTCAAGATAGACATGCATTATCCCCATTTATAAGATAGGGCGACTGAGGCACAGAGTGGTAGTAACTTGCGTGAAGTGACACAGCTGGGGAGTGGCAGTTATGAGCTCTAACCTCAGGCTACCTTATTCTAGAGCCCTTGTTTTTTTTTTTTTTAATTTTAAAATATTAAGGGGGTAAAATGTTCTGTTACACGGATACCTTTTATAATGCTTAAGTCGGGGCATTTAGTGTGCCCATCACTCGAATAGTGTTCACTGTGCCCAATAGGTAAGTTTTTACCCACCCGCCGCCCCGCTTTTTGATTTCCAAGGACCTTTACATCTCTTTGTGCCTGTGTGTGCCCATTGATTAGTACAGTCCTTGCTCTTAATCACTATGCCGGGAAGAGGGTTTTGAACTTGACTCCACAACCATGTGAACTCGAGTGAGTCAGTGACTCTTCCTGGTTTGAATTCTGGCTATACCTCTTGCCACCTGTATGATCGTGGTCAAGCTATTTAATCTTTGTTTAACTGTATTCATTATAAAATGGGGTATTGATAGAATGCCTACCTCATTAGGGCTGTCGTGAGGAATAAATTATATTTATAATGCATTTAGCATCTTGCCTAGCACATAGTATGTGCTCAATAAAGGGCATCCCTTATTCTCATCATTTATAATGGAGGGCTGGTGATATCTACCTACTCCTCAGTGTGGAGGGGAGGGAAATTGAGGTGAAAACCATCTGAAAATAGAAAGTGCTATATGAGAGTGGTGCAACATAATTTGTCTTCAGCCATCTGTAGAAAGCGTAAACCTCCTGAGTGTTTGGATCATTAAGAAGCTCAACTGAGACAAAGAAACAATTAATCAGAAATCAATCATCGGTTAAAAAAATAGCTCAGGAATCATCATTTGTCAAATCAGTTGTCTGTCTTAATAATTATTTCAGTTAAATGCATTTTTTTTCTAATTGAAACTGGTTTCTCCACACAGAAATGGCCTCACTCTGGTTTTGCTTAAAGTCAACCTGGCAAACTGAAACTTCTAACAGCTTAGGTTTAATAGAAAGCCGTTTAGTCACCTGGAATTGTATTTTATTTTGTGCTTTTCTGGGCAGTGGGGTACAGTAGTCCTTTTGCACTGTGGCAATCTTGCTATTCTTAATGGAGTGTAGGGGGGCATTAATTCATGTCTTTAAGAATCTCCCAAGCCTGCAATGTTCATTTGAAAAAGAATTCCAAGCAGCTCAGGGCTAGAGACAAGACCTGACATCACTTTGCTGATGGGATGGTAGAGCTGCTCTTTTCTGCTGGTCCCTGGAGGAGTCAGGAGAGCCCAGGAATTAGAAAACCATAGGAACACAGCTCATCCCCAAGAAACTGGGGGACAAGTGAGCAAAGACGTGTGTACCAGGGGGGTTAACACAGTGTTGTGGAAATAAACAGGAAATCGGTGGAATAAATTATGATACACCCACACAATGAAAAACTCTGCAGTCATTAAAATTGATGACGTTGATCTATAATTAATAACACCGAGCATTACTGATAATATACTGTTAAGTGTAATAGAAGAGGTTAAGAACAGTTATGTAGACTAGATTTTCATCATAAATTCACGTGTATATTTTTACTTGGGGGAAAGGCTTCATGACTGTACACCACCACTTTGGGAGTGCTCGTTTCTAAGAGGTGAGATTTTTGAATATTAAAAATTTTTTCCCTAAGTGCTTAGCTGTGTTTTCTGACTTTTCTACAATGAAATAATTGTATCGCTTATCAAAACCACTTAGTGAGGAGAAAGTGAATGAAGCTGGGGGATGAGGAGTGAAAGGTATGGGAGGAATGTAGGGAGAAAATAAGCCAAGCTGAGTATGATAAACAAACCATGCAGCTACCATTTTGGGGGAAGATGTTCCTTACCTGAAAAATAAGCAGATAGAAGCAGGATAAGAGCAGAGGATTTCTGGGAATGTCCCAAATCTGCTAGAGTCCTAGGGTAGGGTACATTAGGGAACAATAGTTGTCCCTCCATATTCCTTCTCCCCACTTGTCCATTTTGTAATACAAACCACGTTTTTCTGGATATATGACTACCTGGAATACTGGTCACATTTTCCAGCCTCCCTGGCAGCTAAGTTCTGGCCAGTGGGGTGTAAGCAACCTTTAGGAAGGATCGGTACTGAGAGAGACTGATTTTCTTTTCTCTCCTCCATCTTTGCCATGTGGAACGCGGATATGGGTCCCGGAGCTCCGGCTGCCACCCTGAATAATGGGGACGAGGGCCACACCTAAACGGGGAGGGCAGGAGCCTGGCTGCAGAGCTGCCACACCCGTCCTGGACCGTGTCACTTCCAGACTTCTGTCTGAGAGTGAAATAAACTTCCATCTTGCTTAATGCATTGTTCTTTCAGATTCATGAAAAGAAAAGAAGAAAAAAAGAATCCAAGACTCTTTGGCTTTGCATAATAATGAGAATATCAACAGCTAATATTTATGGAGTGTTTCTTCCCATGTACCAGTTACTGTGTTAAGCACTATAGTATATATTTTATTTAATTCTCACAACAACCTCTGAGGTGTGTATTAGTTCGAATTCCAATTTTCAGATTAGAAAACTGGGAATCGGAGAAGTTAAGAGTTGCCACGTTCACAAAGCTAGAAAGTGGTGGATTTAGGATTCGAACTTAAGTCTATCCTCAAGCCTAAGCACTGGTAAGCTTGTGTTTTTCAAAACGAAGTCTGTGGTTTGCCTGCATCAGAATCCTGGGAGATGCTAAAAATGCAGCCCCTGAACCCCATCCCTGATCTGTTTGATCAGAATCTCTCAGGGTGGGAGTCAAGAAGCTACATTGTTATCAGACTCCCTCACCCTCCAAGTTTGCTGCTACTAGTCGGAACTATAACTTAGTATAACTCAAATGGGGGCAATGAATGGAGTTTTGATGTAGGCTTTGTAAATTGCTAACCTGCTTTCTTGTTTTTTTTTCCTGTAAGATATTTCCAGTGCAACTGGCTTACATATTTTTAATGATTACCGAGAGAGCCTATTAAACTACAATTGCAGAAAATGCTGAAATTCCTTTGAAGATGCCTAAACTCTGAAACCTTGAGATAGTTCTAATTGCTTGACTATTTTCATCTTTTTTTCATGTCCCCTCAACATAAGTAAATATTGTGGAAGTGAATTATAATTATTTTTAACATGAAGACCCTCTTCATCTCCTTTCTTTTCGTTTTGGATCACCCCTGGTATTCTCAGTTCTACATTCATACTTATAGAAGACATTGGTTTCCCCGGCGCAAAGGGGTGGAGGGAGGCCGGAAGGGAGAGACTGAATGACTCTGAAGAGGAAATCAACATTTACTGGGGTTCTGCCAGGCCACAGAAATTTTTCTTACGTTATTGCACTACTGCACTTTGCCTGTATTATCTCATTCATGTGATCTCAAAACCCTATGAAGTAGGTAGTAGTGCCCTATTATATCGAGGAGGAAACAGAAGTTCTAAGATGATAGATGTCACCAGACAAGGTCACACAGCCAGTGTATGGCCGACTCAGGATTGGCTGAAGCTTGTTTGACCTGAAAGCCCTGATGCTCATACCACCCTCATTGTCTGCCATTCAGCTGAAGTCACCTCGTATGTTTTTCCATCATAAAACTCATTTGGGGCTCTGTTTTGTAATCAGAATCTGAATAGAGTGTGAATGCAATTTGCTTGCTGCCGGCTGCACAGGCATGAATTATTGAACTGCAGAGCACTCACATAAAAGTTAAGCACCTGAAGAGACTCGGCTGGTTGATTCCATCCTGTCCTCCACTGTTCTCTCAAGGGACAATGATTCCAAGTTCCACATCAGCTCTCACCTGCTGTATCATTGGTGACAGCTTTTATCACCCATAATCGTTTTCTGTGTCTACAGGTGCAGGGGCGAGGCGGGTATGGGGATAGAGCACGTGTGGGTCTCACGGTCAGGTCGTCACCAAGCTCTTCTTCCTTGTGCGTGCCTAAAAGCCTTTCCTTTCTGAGATTCAGAAGCTCAAAACGTCGATGCTCCTATAATTTGTCTATTCCATTTGTCTCCTCAGTGGGATCTGAGGACCACAAGAGCCATGATTTGGGTAGAGAATAGAACCCAGAAACAAGGACAGGAGGATACTTCAGTAGTAAAGTTATGTTCTTGCTTTGCCAAGCATCCCCTTCTCTGAGGAACTACCTGTTCTCTCTCCATCTTCTTTTTCTTTTTTTACTTTTTTTTTTTTTTTAAGACTGGTCAAGTGCAGTAGTAAGAAGGCAGGAAAGTATTAGAACAAGGAGTTCAATCTGTAACTGACTGTGAACAATCTAGTGAGATAACTCACTACCTTGGAACCAGCCTCTCTTCATCTTCTGATGGGCAGGGCATTCGCTCTGGCCACACCACACATGCAAGGGGATGTGACCCTGGCTGGCCAGTTAGGGTACCCAAATGCCCCAGCACGGTGACCAGTACAGGGCAGACATGTGCCTCAACCAGGGCCAATTGGTATCTTCCGTGAGGTTTGATATATAGATGCTGAGAAAGAATCTTTATCACTTTTGTATCATGAGCCTTCGGGTTTTGGGCCTTGGCCCCTCGGTGCAATGTAGTGTAGTCCAATATTGGGCAATAATATTGGTGATATTTCCCAACCAGTAGGCACACCTTCCTGAGGGAAGCTGCAAAAGGCAGCAGAACTAGAGATGCAGCAAGCTGGAGCGGTAATTAGATAGCTAGAGCCTGGACAATAACATCTGAATCCTTAGATTTAGCTGTGCCTGAAGGTTACTCTCAAATGAGATCATATCCCTAATTTATTATTTATTACTTAAACTACTTGGAGTTATTTTCT